GACAATTCATCTTCATCCGAGGCGAGGGTCAGGCTGTCGATGCGAGCTATCGTCAGTGCTGTTGGAGCCTTCGTTGGAGCGTCCGTCTGGTGCATCGTAGGTATGACGGTCGGGGCTGGTGTGGGTTGTGGACTAGGAGGTGTCGTAGACGTATAAGCGGTTGGGCCAGCGGTAGGAGTCATTGTGGGGATGAAAGCTGTGGTAGGAGAAGTACTCGGACTAGATGTGGGTGAGACAACAGGACTTGTGGTGGCGACCGTAGGTGCCAGGGTTGCAGGAACAACACCTTCGTATGTGGTAGGAGAGGTGCTTGGATTAGGTGTGGGTAACACCAAGGGACTTGACGGTGCGATCGTAGGTGTCAGGGTCGCAGGTAAAACTACTTCGTATGTGTCGAATGCAGGGTCAAACACAAAAGGAGTGCATACTCCCATACAGCAATAGCACTCCCCAGCGCCATTATTCCAATTAAATAAGAAAGGCGCAATTTGCGCCCTGATTAGCGAGCAGTATTTAAAACAATCTTCCGGTGTGCTGATTGTTTGAACCTGACGATATGCGACATCCAACGAAGGAGTGAGCCCATAGCGGTGTTTTAATCGTGAGGGCAGGGAGAGTCGACGATCATCGAATGGCGCTAGTCGACCATTTGTCGAGAATCTCTGTCCTTCTGCAAACAGAACAAATGGTTCCGCGGGGTTCACAGAGGGGGCTGCGGTCGGAGCACAAGTGGCGGATTGCTTGAGACTTCGATAACGTACGTGTACCAATGCCGGGCTAGGTAAGGGTGTCGTACAGGAAATGTTTGTTGCATTCACGAGATAAGCAGTCGCATCTACGGCTAGAGTCTCAGAAGCGCATTTATCAATCTGGACCTTGGCCATGAAGCGACGCTTTTTGGACCTATCTAAGTCAACTCGTAACCAGTAAAGTGCTGTCGTTCCGTCGAAGTTCTCAACAATCTCAGGTGACGTGAAAAGTTTCAAATGCGGACGAGTCGCTGTGCGCTCCACGGTCATTCCCCTCGGCAGCAGCATCTTGAATTCCAAACCATTCACAGGGTCCTTGGCGCGAAGTGTGACGGAGATCTTGACATTTCCTGACCCGGCCAAGATCCCACGTCTGGAGTTTGGACGAGTCTTGGCTTTCATGGCAAGGCGTGGACATTCTTGGGAAGCTGCGTTCAAGATGTTACAGACTCCCACTAGCAAGAGGTAGCAGATGCTCAACGGAAGATGCATGCTCAAATAGCTATGTGTTTCTTCCAGAAAATTGTGAGTTGAGGAGGAGATTATTCTAGGCTTAGATGGGTGATGATGGTGCATGTGCATGCGAACAAGTAAGGATACAAGCAAGTTGAAATAGTCAGAGGGTCGACAGAATGCATCAGAAGGATTCATATGCCGGTTCGCAAGATTGTGACTGATATTATGGCAATATCTCAATATGCATACAAGGTATGGTGCACACTCTCAAAAGATCTGATAAGCGGTACCAAGCGATAGCCGTATATTCTGATATCAAGGTTTGTTGAAAGTAAAACCAAAGACAATATCTAGCCTAGCATCAGCTTTACGATTACCAGCAGTAATGGGAATCTCGCACACGTTCCATATATAATATCTACTGGCATGTAGAGCACGTTAAGCAATCTTTATTAAGGTTTCGCATTTGCAGAGAAATAAGTACACAAAGATGTCTCACGGCTGGGAGAGGTCCCCAAAACAGCTATAAACAGATTCGTTCCTTTATAAGAGCATCTCAAGGTTGCTTTCCCGAGAGAGGGTGAGGAGAGGTGAATATTCGTAGTTTGCTCTCGCAACCGAATCTTTACCCGGATCGAGAGTCAAGTCGTCCACACGACCGAAGTGTGTTAGATTCTTCTGAACCACTCCTCCTACTACTTTTTACTTACGACGTTTCAATGCATGTATACCTGTGGAACCTTCAGCGGGCGAAAAACATTCGTGTAGGTCTATGAGGTGAAAATACTTTTAATACCAGCTGTGAGGGACATTGTCAGATTTTTTGCACTTCTGGGAGCTCGAGAGTTTGAAAGAGTCTCGGTAGAAATCACAGTAATTAGAAATTCAACGCCCGGAGTTTCGGTGAATCTCGGGAGGTTTGAGAGCTTGAATAGAAAAATCTATATTTGGATTCAACGCCACGAGTTTCGGCGAATGGCGGAAGAAGCTCCAACGACCTAGACCTTTTTCACTATAGACTTTCAAGGCATCGAAGTTGTAAGGGATCTAGATTCACATTGATTGCTACGATCCCGGAGCACCAGCGAGTCTCCTACCACGTCTATTTTCACAAGTTGGAAGAAACGATTGCCAAAATCCATCCCGAAAATAGATGTAGCCAGATCTTCATAGCCTTTCATCTCAAATATCTACTCTACTGTCAAAATCCTCATAATGAAATAGTTCGGCTCGACAATTTACAGGAAATATGCCTCACTGCGGACACCGCTGTCTACTGTGGATAGACTAGTCTTTGCTCCTAAGGCCCAACCCTAGCTTGTCTTGTCCTGTCGGGTAGATGCAGGCGAGAATCGAGAAAAATATATCATTTGGGATTTTTTTAATCTTTTTTGGTGTCGTTCACAGGAAAGACATGCAAGATTGGCAAATCTGTCTTCTCTGCGTTGATGTGTTCCTTCTGCCTTATGATTTCGAGAGAATGTATCCACGATCGGAGTGGCTTTAAAGAGCAATCATCCGAGCAGATTACGCAACTTCTATGATATTGAGCGTTTCTCTACCCATCCACCAAAGAAGTAATATTCCAGATAGAATGGACAAGGACAGAAAGACGGCCTCTAGAGGCAATTACGAGCATGTCGTCTCCAGCTCTTTGTTCGTTCGTTTGTTTGGAAGAACGTCGTTATCTGTCGTTCTCAGGCCCTAGTAGATAGATGTGGCTTTTATCTGGACGATCCAGGTAATTATCTTGCCATTGTTGAGCAAACTAGAAGTTCACTGATACAGCCTTACAAATTGTCTTTGTCTAATCATTTCGCGATCTGTATCTTCAACAGCTTTACCCTCTGTGGCCGATGGGCTCCTGTTTGTAACTGTGGAGGGCAAGAATACACCTTTCAATAATTCGATACCCTGCGTCTATGTCGTCGTCTTGCACAGAATCGCGTCGACGTGGGACGCCGGGACATTGACATTGGCTAGCCTTGCCGTAAATGGTGAAGCTCTAATTTTGAAAGCGCTTTTCCCTTAGCTACGCGTACCACAAGTCTCATCGTTTTTTGGGTAGTACAGTTACCCTACACCTGAGGTAATTCCGGAGGAATGCCAGTCTTGCTGAATTGATACATTTCCTTACAAGCATGTCGTCTTGTAAAACGAGCTCGTTAACATCCATCCAGTACACTTTGACTGTATGGATTCCTAAACGTCCGTAGTCAAGCCAAATGTTGGGACTGGGATCATGTCATGAAGGTCAGAATTGGATCGAAGAACGAAGAAAGTTGAAAACCCAAGTAAAGGGGGAGGGTTAAGGGAGAGTCTATGAGGAACGCGAAGCAGGCTTCGAGGATGGGAAGGAAGTGCAACGAAACAGACGCACAAGACAGAAAATAAAATGGAAGTTGAAAAGGAGTTCCAATTTACAGGACTAGGGCAGGGCGTGTTTGGAATGACAACGCCAAGAACTTGCTCCAAAAACAACATTCTACTCCCGTAGAGGGTTGAGGCACTCAAAGATGTGTTATACGATGCCATTTTAAGTCTCTTGTCTTAATTATTGTAGAATCTTTCACAAAATGGCCAATCATCCACGTCTTAATTACTGGAAAATGATATGAATGGATGACGGCGTCAATGGGCCAAAGAACTAGCGACACTTAAAGTAATGTCTTTCAGGGGACAGGGAAAAGGAAATACACAGAATCAGGAGTCAAAGTCTCTTCAAATCGATCACTGAGTAGACAAAATTGAAATCGGGCGACATTTCGCTCTGTATGGATAATAAGCAGGGCCCCCTAACCGCATTCCTCGCTCCTTCCTCCATACCCTCCATCCCCACAATCTTCTCCTATGTCCCGGCTCCGTCTTCTCTTCCTTCTTCCATTTTTCGTTCCCGTCCCTCTAAAGCGTGGCTAGCTTTGTCACGAGATGGAACACGTAAGCAGTGATCTGGAGAGGAGGGGAGGGGTGTGGAAGAAGGGGAGGGCGGGCGATTACTGGAAAAGGGAAAGAGGAAGATAGCTTTTCGTGCAAGAGCAGCGGGGAGGAGAAGCAGACTCTACGAAACGACAGAAACAAGGTTGAGGGTGTGAAGAAGGGGACTAAGGCGCTCAATCAGAATGGGATTGGCGGGGCATGTCAGTAGGTCCTTGAGGTGTTACCCAAAGAGACGATGGCACAGAGACCGGCCTTATCCTTATGCTAGTCGAACGCGACCAGAGGCTGAGGGGACAGGAAATGCACGTTCAGGTGGGAGAGGGCGCCGGGGTCGTGGGAGGTGGAGGAAAAGGTGGTGGTGGTGGAAGAGAAGGGTGAAAGAGAGGGGTTGGCATAGTGGCTGTAGTTGGAGATTCGCAAAGGGAGGAAGAGAAGTATGTGGGAGAATTTTTCCTGAAAGGTGATTGCGTGTATCAAGTCCAGGGCCACTCCTTCCCCCAATCTGTCTCTAGCTGCTTCCTTCCCCTTTATATTCTGTGTACTCCTCCTCCTGATGTGGGGTTCTCCTACTCTATGCCTCCCCCCGCCCTGTCCACTCCTTACTATTGCCAAAGCGCCAATCCTCCATCCCCTCCGCACGTGACAAAGACATCCCAATTCTGAGGTAGGTGTCAAACACTCCAGACCGCCTGGGAAGAGGGAAGGACAACAGGAGGTAGGTCGGAGGGTTCTGGGGTGAGGGTTAAGGTGCGACTAGGCGGAGTACAGGACGAGGAGGCAGAAAAGAGGGAGTGCGCAAGCTTGCAGTCTCTCGCTTGAAAAACGAGTCAAATGCAGCTATGAAATGATTCTAAGTACGACAGGCTAGGGTACAAACCAGACAACCCGAAAAAGAGCGAACAAGATCGCTCCCACGTACATTGTGGTGAGTCTTCAGCTTGACCAAGGAGTATAGCCCTCCTTGATTGCCCTCCGTCCCCCTTTCCCTGCCTTCCATCGCCTCCGGTGGATCGCGACCACGCAGCCTCCAAATATGGAAGGAGGAATCGAGGGTGGTGAGGACAAGGTTATTCATATGAGCGTCCTAAGGAGAAAGAGGAAGAAAAGAGAGGAAGAAAAAATGAGGAGGCAAGTGACAAAGGACGAAAAGGAAGGAGGGTTGTCATGGGGTCATAAAGGAGGATGGTGAGCAGTGGCATACTTAAGATTCATGGTTGAGAAGAAAGGGAGACGTGGGCCGGCAAGGAAGAGGGAGGGAAGAGGGAGGGTCGGAGGGAAGAAAGGAAGGAGGGCTAGAGGGAGGGAGGGAAGGAGGGAGGGCAAGGCGCAGCCATCGGTCGAACTCAAGGGAGGTGACGCCGTTCCCCACGTTATCCTCGTGACGTATACTATTTGTGCGGAGGTCTGGAGAGGGAAGGACAGGAGTAAGATTGAGAGGGGAGTGAGAAGGGGAGGGGAGAGAGGAAAGGGAGGAGGCGAGAAGCTGTGCTCAGGCATGAAGAGACATATTCTCTGGAACAGGGAACTTAGGGTGATCGCATAAATGATTATAGAAGGGTATAGAGGAAGGAAGAGAATCTTGGGAGAACCATGGCGACGGGAAAGGAGAACCGTGACGTTAGAGTGGAGGGGAGGGCAGCAGAAAGGGCGGGCGTTGGGATGGATTCTATAGTGTGCATTATATTGCTCTAAGGGTTTTCTAAGGTTGGCACAAGCACGCCATTGTCCAAAGATTGAACCAAGGGAATTGAATTAGATGAAAGTTTAGGGTCAGGGTAAGAGTTTGCTCTATTTACCACGCATTTAAGATAAGAGATAAAGTCAAGATTAAGATGAAGGTCATTTTTGGGATCGAAACTAGTGTGGACGATCATCCTTCTTAAGGTAGGGTGTTTGTTTTCCCCCGGAATGCGCTGGGAAACTACCTGACCCTCACAAGGTCTTGTACATTTTTGACGATCGTATTCTCCGGGTCTATTTGCGTTCTCAGGGAGTCCCCGCTCTCGGGATCCAAAAAAACATGCACAGTCCCTAATTGGCTACGCACTTTTCGACGCCCCACTTCTGGGTCGCCTAGTGCTGCCCTACCCTCCCCCCGCCCCAGGAAAAGTAGGTCGGTAGCCAATCTCACAATGGAGCGCAACGAGAAAGAAGTATGTCAGAGGGGGACTGGGAGTATCTCTCCTTCAGGCAAGGTTGGAAGATCACCTGACTTGTGTCATTCTCTTTTCTCGCGTTCAGACAATCTCTACGCTGCCCTCTCGCCCACCCCCCCTCCACCAGGTGCTTGAGCTGCTGCGTGAGCGCGTGTCCTTGACCTGGGGAAGTAGATACCTTCCTTTCCTAGGACGGATTAGCATCCGTCTGATGAGGCGACCCCTCTTCCTTACCCTCCCCGAAGCGATTTGAACACGGTTCCCTGGAGGATGGGTGTGGACGCCATGTATACCTGATGGCCCCAATTGGCGGGAAGCTCCATCGTCGGTAGCACCCACTGGCACCTGTGTCGTCGATGCTGGCCCTAGCGGTAGAGCGTCGCCCACATACTTCTTACTCCTCTTGAGCTTGCGCGGGCCCCCGCCCACCTCCGAGGCACACATGGAGCCCTTCCGCCGGCTTCCCCCCCCTAGCCGCGGGTTGAGGTGCCCCCGTCGTCACCACTCTACTCCTCCTAAGGAGGGCCTACTTCCCAGCCCGCCCTTAAAGCTTCTTCCGGTAGCCGTCAACCTGGTGGCAGAGGAAGGCCGAGCCAGCCTGTGGCTATCTTTGCCATCTCCGACGCGGATGCCTCGATGTTGAGCCAGCGCTTCTGTGGAGAGCCAAGCGCCGCACAAGGCCCAGGTAGATCGCTTACGAAAGCAATAGTGCTTTTAGGATTCGGCCACATGACTTTCTCTGCGGCGTCGGGAGCTTCCCCACCTTCTCTAACGCCGCGCGATAGCCCGCCTTGCCGCCAGGAAACAGGCCCAGGCACGATATCAACGTTTCCAAGAGGAAGATAGTGGGAGAGGAGGGGCTCCTTGGGCTAGCGTCCTCTACGTGGAAGTGATCGTCATTGTCCTGATGGTCAGGATGAGCATCTCCATCCGGGAGGTATCCTGGTCGCACCGTCGCGGGGTCTCCCTCCGTAGAAAGCTCCTCCTCCATCCTACGTATCGTGGGAAAGAAGCCGACCATGTTCTCTAGCCTGTATGTGAAGCCGGCTGACGCGGGCGCCATTTTCTCCTCCTCCCTGGCTACTTCGCCAAGGAATGCGGCCCCGGCGTCCATGTGCCGCCCGCCTATCTGTACCCGCCCTCGTCACACCTCTCTCCGTACCCCAGCCTGGCAACAGCTCGAGGCCCTTGAGTTTTCGTCGTCGATAAAACTCCAGGCAGCCGAGTGTGGTAGCACTCAGGTCCACGGTGAGCCGCCACATCGCCGGGTCGGCCCCCAGAGCCGCCTCGCCCTTTCCCACCGGCATGAACAGCGCACGATTTAAATTCGAGAATGTGGGAGGCTGCATGTAGGTGACAACGACGGAGCACATCTACCACCCGGCGAGCTGGTGGGGTCACACAGCGCCCCGCCGCCCGGTGTTGCAGCTGCACCGGCAGGTGAATTTCCCGCCGCGCGAAAGCGCCGATGCTCATTATCCTTCTCCTCAATCCGATTTCGAATGTGTTTAAAGTAAGTGGACTTTTACTGTAGCTCGTCCGCGGTGTACTGGCGCTGGAAAGGGAGCACGGCGCTGGTGTCCCGGTTCTCCTTACCCTAATTCGACTCAATCTCTGCCACTTCCTGTACCAGTACCTTTGCAGACTTCCACCACGTGAAGAATTTGACGAGGAGGATGCCCTTTGCCGTATTCCACACGCTGCTCCACGAGGCTGTAGAAGCCGCATTTGCGATTTCGGGGACGAAATAATTCTACACCTCACCCACGATCGGTACATGCCTCGGTTTCCCTCCCTCCCTTTCTTCCTTTTTGTTCTATGTTTTTGTTTTTTCCCTCTGAACTCCACGCCTTTTTCTTTCACCTGACAATGAAGATTTATAACAAATGGACCGCGGTAATATAACATATTCTTTCATCTGTAACTTTAAGCCACTCTCCTTAGCCTTCGACATCACAGCTTTCAAGACGGTCCGAATACCTATGCGCCCTCCTCTGTCATATAACACCATTATGTGCTGGGGAACGCACAGTCGTCTTGAAATGTGCTTCTTCTCCACGGAAAAGGAGGGAAAAAGGCCAAAAAGAATTTTTTTTCATTTGGGAAAAACAAAGACAGCTGACGCGCTCCCGGTCACATGCCAGCATTCCAGAGCCCTCGACGTCCCTAATCATGTCCTCAAAGCCCATTCGTGGTCTTGGCAAGCACGTGACTCTCTCTGACACTCTTTTTCTTGTCCTGTTTATCCCTGTTTGTGCGCCTGTGTGGCAATCGGTGGGTTGACCAGGTACTTTGAGGGCGGTCCCACGAGATCTCAAGATCTCGCCTTCGGATTTTTCGTGCCACAGCCTCTGGGACGACCATTCCTATATCCCTCCCCTCTTCCGCAGCTATCTCTTACGCTTTCTGTCGCGCCATTCAACACCAACGAGCAAGCACAGATGCCCTCTCTCCTCCTCTGGCTCTTCATCCTTTTGGTCCTCCTTCCTGCCGTCTTCCTCCTTCTACTCATCAAGCTTCCCAAACCCGTCCCAGCTCGATGGGAGGTGCGGCTTTTCCTGCTCATGGGCATGCCTGCCGATCAATTTTTGTCCTACATCATCCAGGTAAAGGAAACGAACATGGTTGCATGGTTGCTTCAATCTTTGTTGCAACCTTGGTAATTAATTGCTCGAGAAATCGCCTTCAGGACTCGAAGGATGCTTACCTCCTCGCTCCCGCGACTCCTCCCTCTCTCCCTCCATCATCCCCTTAGAATGGCGTGGATCCTGTTTTCTGGCATCGCGCTTTGTATGCCACCTACATATCTCTCATGGCAGCATTTTTCTGGATTCCCAAAGAGGAGGAAAAGTACTCAGTGGAACAAATTGAGGAGGTGAGCAAACAGGCGGGAGGGACAAAGACGGCGTGGATACATTCCCTCCGCGTGGAGCAATTCCTCACAGTAATCGATTTATGAAGAGATACATAGAGCGTTAGATGAATCCTTGTGTAAAGTTTGTGATTTATACTCATGTCTCCCCTTCCTCCCTCGCACACCCCACCTTTCCTCTACCCCGTCCTCCCCTTCCTTCCCGCTCTTGCCCTCTTTTCTTCTCTTTCCCGGCTCCCAGGTCCCCATCCTTCATCCCCCCATTTTCATCATCGGCCACTACCGGAGCGGCACCTCCCTTCTGCATGAGCTCTTGAACAACGACGAGAGATTGGTTGCCCCCACGGCTTTCCAATGCTACGTTCCACGGATATTCTTGGGAAGGGAGGTGCGGGACGATGGAAGGGGGGGATACTCGATACTGGCGGAGGACGATAGAAGCCAAGATTCTTTTGCGATGCCACGTCCCTCACATTCTTGTCTCGTGCGATTTGCGCGGACGGGGGCGCCTCGCCCTCTTCCTCCTCCTTGCTCTGGGCCGTGGCCCTCTCTTTTGTGGCTCTCCTTACCAATGCTTCCCTTCCGCCCCTCTCATTCCCCCCTCTGCCAATCCCTCATTTCGTCCTTCTAGAGGTTCATGACCAAGCAATTCGCAGGGCTTCAGATGGAACGGCCCATGGACAGCATGAAGGTCGTAGGGAGGCGGGAAGGAGGGAGGGAGGGAAGGAGGGAGGGCGCGAGGGAGGGGGAAAGTGCAGATCTCCCACAAAAACACAATGCTGCATTCCTTCTTGAAAGCTTCTCGTTGTCCCGCGGGCAATGATGTGTTCCCTTGATCCTCCCTCCTAGGCCTCCAACTTCCTCTTCCGCTCTTCTTCCCTTCTTTTCTGCCCTCCCTCCTCCTACCTTACCTTCCTTTCCTTCCTCCTCATGCCTGGCTTTCCTCCCTCTCTGCCCTCAGGTCGGCCTCAGCTCCCCTTTTGAAGACGAATTTGCCATTGCGAACCTGTCTGGTCTCTCTCCCTACATGGGCGCCATTTTCCCTCGACAGTACCATTACTACGAGCGTTTCCTCTCGCTCAAAGATTGCACTCAGGTGCGTGCTTTCCTCCTTCCGTTTCTCTTTCCAAGATCCTCCCTTCTTCTTGACTTCTCCCCCTCTCTCGTGCGTCCTTCCGTGCTGTTCTCTTTTGCAGGCGGAGCTATCGGCCTGGAAAAAACCATCACTTTCTTCTTCAAGAAAGTCTTGTACCGGCAGCAGGACAAGCGCCTCATCCTCAAGGTACTTGCTCCGCATCCTCCCACCCTCCTTGTTTTTCCTCCCTTTCTCCTCTCCTACCGCCTTGTCACTGTTTGCTCATCTTTACAGGCTCAAGACACGAGGCAAGATGATTTTCGGATAGAGTAACCATCCTTGGGAGCACACCCCGTTGTACCATACCTACCTACCTCCCTCCCTCCCTCCCTCCCTTCCTTCCTCCCTCCCTCCCTCCCTCTCTTCCTCGGCAGTCCCCCTCCCACACGGCCCGTGTCCGTGTCCTCCGAGAACTCTTCCCAGGAGCCAAATTCATCCACATTAGGTACCCCCTTCCCCCATCCTCCTTCCCTCCTTCTCTCCCTTCCTCCTCTCTCCTACATCCCGCCTTTTTCCTTAAATGCATGCTTCATGCACCTAAGACATCTTTTCCTCGTGCCCTATCCCCTTATTTTTTCTGTTTCCGCCCCGTTGCTTAACATTGAACTGGCTTTCCATCTAATTGTTTCATCC